GTTGGGTATGATGGATCAGTTGTGCAGGCTTTTCGCGGGGGCCTTGCGCGCACCTATCAGCCGCCACATCCGGAAAGCTACCACAGTTCAGAGCGGCGTGTATCATAGGGGATGCTCAGTTGGTGATTTGTGTTCCAACTAGTTTGAATGCTTGGCGCACGCGGATCAATGGAGCGAGCGCCCACCTTGCATTGGAGCCCAGGACGCGTTGATTGTTTTTGATTATGTCCGCCATCGCGACGTGATTGAGACCAACAGGCCCATGGGGGCCAGTCCAATGCAGGTGCTATCTCTCGCATGTGAAATTGTCGACAATGCAGCGCAGCTCTCCGCACGCGGGGCGTCGACTACGACGCTGTCCACTATGTCCCGGGCCTTTGCGCTCCGCGAACAAGCCAGGCCCACTTAGATTCGTTCGCATGTTCGAAGAATGGTTAGCTGATTTGGTGGGTGTCTGGGGGGCCATGGGCACGCGTTTCCTTCTGGGGTCCCTCCTGGCCGGCTCGCTGGCAGAGTGTCATTTTTCTTGATCAATGAGATGGCGCGTCTTCTAGAAAACCGTTTCAGTTGGACTTGGAAACCCACTTCTTTGGAAATTATTATAGCTCGGGTCCCATACTTGCGCAGCGCATGCGAGGTCGTCGCCAACGGCCCCCAGCTGACGTTTCAAATCAAACCAGCTTCGGCTGCTCTCGGGGGCTCAATGGACACGGACACTCCGCGCAAGCCTTTGATGCGGCACCGCTTGTCCCAGGGGGGGGCACATGTTCTAACGAGTGTGCCACATGCATGTGTTCCAAGGAACTTGTTTCATTCAAGTTTCGGCGTTTGCTGGATCTCCGCGAAAGTCTGCCAGCTTCCGATTTGCCGTGGGGCGCCGGTCCCAATGTGGGAACGGTGCCATTTGGTAAAAATGTTCCGACTGAAGCGCAAGCAGCAATAATCGCAGTTCGTGTTCAACCAGCGTGCAAATTTTAAGTTGGCGAGTTGGACTTCGATATTCAAATGCACGCCATGTCATGCTCATATGTTGGAGCTCTGGCAATACATGCTTGGCGAGAGCGCGCCGCGGCTGCCCGGGCACGGGCGATCCGCATGGACCGAGGCGCTATGAAGCGGCGGAGGCTGGATATACCTGTGCATGCCAGACCCGGCCGTTACCTAGAGTACGATAACATATGTATTCGTGTCTTGGTTTCTGATTCGAGGCTGAATTTGGGTGAGCGCGCGGATTCTGATGCATGGGAAGTTGGGTGCAAGTCTTTCGTTGACATTTGTTGTCGTTTGCTGGGTCTTCCAAAGCCATGCCCAGGTAGACAGGGCGCCGTCAGGATGTCAGGATTGCAGACGACGGCCCTGGCCCCCGCAGAGGGGACCCTAAACGGCTCTTGGACTTGTCCCGGACGCTGCGCAGGGAATCGTCCTGGCTCCCAGACGAGCCACAGCTCGATTCCATCGTGGACAACTCTGCGGTGGCTGGTCTTGCGAACACTGAGCCATCCGTGAAGAATCCTCTCCATGAGTCCCTGGTCTATGGTATTCGCCGCGGTCTGAAAAGAGTGTTTGGCGCGTTTTTCCGGCCGGAAACGGGATTTTCAAATCCAGTGGAACGGCGACCGCGAAAGTTCAATTTTCCGCCCGATGCAGCGCGAAGTTGGGTATTGGCAGCCAGGGCGGACGCAATAGACTTCAATGTTGACCGCGACGTGGGCGCAGCGATTGCCGACAGGTTTTTCCAGGCATATTGTGACGGCGGCCGCGCCCGCGAAGTGGGGGCAGCAGCGTCTGTCGTTCATGCCCATGGCCCAAGCAGTGGGCTCGCGCACAGGATCGGCTACGCGCGGGCGCATTCACGCAGCAGGCCCGGTCTGCTTCTCACGCAGAAAGTGCTGCTTCCGACATGGCGCGGGCGCGGACACAACCATTTGCACAACGGTACTTGGGCACATCGCGACAGACTCAGGAGGGCGCCGTGAGCGCTTCACCAGGCGATTCGACGAGGGAAGCGCCATAGCAAGACAAAACAGAACGATGGACAGTTCCCAAGAACCCCCCCCCCCCCAGAACGTCAAGTTCCTCCGTGTACCATGGTCGTCTTCGCCGTGTCGTAGCAGGCGTGGCCTTTCACAGTATGACATGCGTGGACCAGTTGCTCTCTCCACGCTCCGTGTTCGCCCCCCCCCCCGCCCCTCGTCGTCGCCATCGCCCCGCCGCCCCTTTTCGCGCGCGCCGCCAAGTTAGCGGCGCCCGCCCGAGCGGCTCTGACAGCGCCGCCATCGCTGCCCGCTTGGGCCCCCGACCTGCCGGGCCGTCGGGGCGCCCTCGGGTTCTCGCGCCCCCCTCGCGGGCCGTCGAGGCCAGGTCCCAGGCTCTGGTCTCGGGCCAGGCCCCCAAAGCAGCGCGGCGACTTCGACAGAGCATTCCACCCTTCGCCCGCGAGGAGTTGCACCGCGCAGTGAAACACTTCAACAGCGGCAAGTGCAAGGGCGCGGCTGGGCCCGCCGCGGAGCTGTTGAAAGCGGGGGGAGACGCGATTGAGAAGCATCTGGCGGCGCTCCTCAACGACGTCGTAGCACCTGAGCAGACGCCGCCGGAACAGCGGAGACAAGCCGCCATCGGCGTTATCTGTATGTCTGGAGACCCGCAACTACCGAGCAACTACAGACCAATCGCCATCATGCCGTCACTATACAAATTCACGCCCCGACTACTCTGCAACCGATTTGACGCAATTTTACACGCACAAACGAATGCCCTTACCAAACTGGCTTCTGCAAGGGCCCGAGCACAGAGGACCGCCTCTTCACTGCAACTTCACTTTGCGAACAGTCCACGAATGGCAGCTCCCACTCCTGGACTGCTGCTATCAATTTCTAGCAGGCTTTCTACTGCGTCGACCGCTCATGTTTGTAGGATGCCCTGAGGAAGCAAGATGTGCCCCAACCCTACATCACTTTGCTGTTAATTTTTTACAGCGACCAAGGAGCCGCGGTGAAGATCGCCGCCGGAAGCAGAGAATTCTATGTCGATCGCGGCGTCAAGCACGGGGGCCCACTCAGCTCATATTTGTTCAACGCGCTACTCGAGCACATCTTCCGGAACATTAAACCAAGTTGGACACGAAGGTCTTCGGCATATAATTGAGAAGTGCACAGGGGGCGCGCCTACCCAACCTGGGCTTTTTGACGACGTACTCCTCCTAGCCCCCTTTCTACGACATCCCAAGTGTATCTTGCGAGACTTCAAACACGAAGCTGCGAAGTGTGGACTTGCATTGCACCCCGAAAAAATCGAAAATCCTCACACATGTTAGCACCCGACAGCGGCGATGCATTTCACACGTGGACATCGGCGACGACAAGGTCGAAATCCCCGGCGCCGAGGAGAGCACCAAGCGCCTGGGTCGCAAGTTGACGTTGCGCGACTTCCACCGCGCCTTGCTCGCCAGCCGTCACGCAATGGGGCGGCGCAAATTCAACCAGGTCCGCAACGAGCTCACAAATAGCCGGTGCCCCGTTCGCAGCTGACGCAGGCTTTCTCAGCGGGACGGTGACGCCAACGGTCACGCATGGCTGCGCAACGTGGACTCTCACCAAAGACATGCTCTGGACACTCCGACGCACCCAACGACGCATGTTACGACTCATTGTCAACATTTCGAGGCGGCGACAGAGACATACCCACACCAGCACCGACGAAAACGCAACCAACCCCGACGCTGAACAGCATGACGACAGCACAAGTAACGACATCAAGTCCAGCGGCAGACAACACCTAGACTTTGACGGCGTCGATCGCGAATCCGGCCTTGCATCTTGGGACAATTTCATTCGCAGGGCTACCCGCGCCGCCTCAGACCTTGCGACGCGCGCACATGTGGAGGAATGTGCTACAATATTTCACAAGCGTACATGGAGATGGGCTGTGCGATTTGCTCCACAGCCACACCACAGTTGGGCAAGATTGGGCGGCGGCATGTGAACCTGATATCCATGAGCCCCCGGCAGCACGGCGCCGACATGGCGGGCAGTGGAAACGGTGGAGTGACGACATCACACTTGCTGGAAGCACACCCGGCACATGGCTACAGAGCGCTACAACTTTGAAATTCTGGGCAGATTTCGAAGGCGACTTCCTGAAATTCACATGTCTGTGACTGGGCTCCGGCCCGCCCGCGCCGCCCCTAACGGGCCTGCCGGCCCGCCGGCGGGCGGACTCGCGCGTCTGCGTCTGCGTCTGCGTCTCGGGTCGGTACGATCGAAATTGATAAGCACAGCATGGGCACCAAGACTGACAGCAGTTTCTGCCCATTTTGAATGGGATTCGCTGTCGGTGCTGCCGCTGACGCTGTCCATTGAAAACGCAGAGTCGCCTGCCCAACAACGGCCGCTGTCGGTTTGCGGCTGCATTTGCTTTTGGGCATCGTACCCATATCGTGCGTGCCAATCGGGTGGTGTTCCCCTTCCTCTCTCTGACTCTCTCCCCCATCATCCTCCTATCTCTCTTCGTTCCTCCTCGTTTCCCCCCCCCCCTTTAACCTCCTGCTGCCCATCTCTCATCCTCCCCCCTCCTGCTGACTCGTCCTCCCTGTTCCTCCACGTGCTCTTCATCTTCAGCCCTCACAAGTTGGGCAGGAGTAGTTTGAGTCGGGGTGTCGCGCCGCATCGTGGATGCATCGGGGATGCGGCGCGATCTGGAGCCCAGTGCGTGTTGGGAGGAGGAGGAGGAGGAGGAGGAAGAGGAGGATGAATGAGAGGAAAATTGGGAGGAGGAATGGGAGGAGGAGGAGGAGGAGCAGGAGCAGGAGCAGGAGCAGGAGGAGCAGGAGGAGGTGGAAGAAAAGAAGGTTCTGATTTCGTTTGGTCCCCATCTTCTTCGGGACTCGCTGATTTGGATTCCGGCTTCGACCACATATCTCAGTGGCTCTGGATTCGGGACTCAGACTCCAGGTTCAATTTGATACATGTGAACCCGAATTCTAGATTCCAAGATCGGAGGGTCTGGAGGTTCAGGGGCCGATGAGTGTTAGTTACAAGCGTGGGTAACCATCGGCGAGAAGATACTTGCGTCTCGCGCGTTGCGGCCGGTGCCGTTGAGTTGGCCTCATCCAGAGAGAATCGCGTGGCGCGAAACGCGAAGTTAGGTTACCTAGATTCCAGATTCGACGCTTCTCTGGGCCACCTCTCGGAAGGATCGAGTCGCCGAAGCTAAGGATGAGATCGATTTTTTCAGGAAGGTGGCGCGATTGCCCGACGACACGCCCGCCTTAGGCGTCGCGGAGCTCATTGAAAAGGAGACCCTCGGATACATTAAGTACATACTTTACGAGAAGACGAGCGAAGTATTCGTCCATGGTCCAGATGCGATACGCGACAAGGACCGAGGAGCTGTTGATATCCAGGATTTCATGCGAGACCCCATTGTTAAGGAAGCGGAGCTGACTATGGCCCACGTCGTGTCGTTGCGCTTCTACACGACACCAGGGTTCAAATATCTGAACTCACCTTTCCGGAACCAGGACCGGTATTATAACAAAGACAGGCCTCACCCCATGCCCATCACAATGGCGTACATTGCAGAGGGTATCAAAAAGTTGCGTTCCGCATATGCGATCAAGGTGGACGCAGGCAAAGCGAACTCGCATTTGGTCCTCTGGCGGGGCCTGAGAAACATGTACATGCCAGAGGATTTTCTCAAGAATCGGAAGGGCGGAACGGAGTTGGCGCCAATGTCCACCACGGCTAACATTGAGGTAGCGGCGCGGTACGCGTGCAGCGGTGAGTCAGTGTTACTTAAGATATCTTTGGACAATTTCATGCAGTACGGAGCCGAGCTCGGTTGGCTCTCGGCTTTCCCAGGCGAGGTCGAGGTGCTCTACCCGCCCCTGACTTATTTGCAGCCTACAGGCAAGCCGCCTCAGGTAGTGGAGCTGGGCACGGGCCACAAGTTTGTTGTTCATGAGGTAACACCTTCTATTCCGTGAGCGCTAGTGCTTGCGGTGATTATGTTCAGCATTGGCGCGGATTGAGAGCATGTGGATCTTCGAGGGGTCACCCGCGGACCGCAAGAGCGGCACCGAGCATGTGCCAATGTCCGCAACCTCGAGCCTCGAGGTGGCGGCGAAAGTACGCCAGCAGCGGTGAACGGAAATTGTTGCATGTTATGTTGGACATTTTTAATCAGTATGGGAAGGGATCTCTAGTGGATGTCAGTGTTTCCTGGGGTGGTGCAGCTGCTCGACTTGTTGCTGATTAGATTATATGCACAGAGAGCTGCAGGTGATTAAGTGGGCGCAGATGTTGGCACCGAAAGTGGTGTCAACCGTTTTTTATATGGTGTGTGGTAGTCTCGACCGCGGAGAGAGCCGCCGTTTCTTGCGCCCGACGAGGAGGCACAAGTTCACCGTGAAAGAGATTATGCCCATTTGTTTAAAGGTTTGCATATTCCCTCCCACAGTTCTTTTTATTTTACATGGACGCGTCCCCAATCGAGAGCAGCTCGGGGGGTGAGTAATTCTTCCGTCCGTGCTGCTCCAGGCTGAGGGCGCTCTGACTTCCACGGCAGACAGAACTCTGGCCGACTGCGTGGGCACACGTGCGCAAGTTGCGCATGTAAGGTTGCGCGCCCGCGCAGGCGCCCTCCGCTCCGAGCGATTCGCTGGGGCTGGCGGTCCTCGTGAGCCGCCGCACAGTCGCCGTGGCCGTGTCCTCGTGCGTCAGCATTTCTCGGTCTTTCTCTCGCGTCGCTCGACGCCTCGCTGTCTGCAGAAGGCATCTTTTCACCACCACGGTCAGGGCCATTACCAGCCCTAGTATGGTGTATACGCCATCTAGGCCGAACGGGCGGATGCAACCTGCCAGGGCCCAGGATGGCCCGGGCCCAGCTTTGTGGTGGTGGTGGTGGTTTGTAGATGGCTTCTGCGCACCTTGAGGCTCACATACGCAGTGTCGTGTGTTTTTCCACCTGCGCCCCTCGAGGGCAGTCAAAAGAAGGCCTCTCCGTCCATGTTCGGCTGCCTGCTCATTGCTGGGCTGCCACCTATGATTGGCAGTGCCTTTCCTCGTCGTCATATTCGCCTCCTCCTCCTAGTCTCTCCCATCGACTCCCTCATCCCTGTTCTCCCCTCTGTTTTTTCTCTTCCTGTTCTTCTCCATCTTCTCTAACCTCTCCAACCGTTTCCCCTTTTCTGTAATTATTCCATATGCGTATATATTCCTCTCTTCTCCGAAGTTGTGCGGAAGATATCCCGCCCCCTCCGCGATTTGTTCTTACACCGGATTTGAAACGTTTGTAGTTTCTATCGTGGCTGACAATCTGATCGTATTCGTTTTTTTCAAAGTCGTGTTCCCGCTGCAGCGTGGGCCTCATTTTCGGATCTGCGCTTGACTCCTGTCGTTCAGAATGGCGCTAAAGCCCCAGCGTTGGCCTTTTTCTGGATCGCACAAGCCTCGCAGGTCCCACAGGTCTCACAGGTGTCGCAAGCCCCACAGGTCCCACAACCCACAGGTGTGGCAGTGCGTGCCACAGGTCTCGTATGTGCCACGAATACCACAGGTACCCCAGGTCAGATCTCATTGGTCCCACAGGTCCGACAAGTCACGAATGCCCAACAGGTCCCACAGATGTCGCAGGTCTCACAGGTCGCACGGAGGTCCCACAGGTCGTGCAGGACGCGCAGTTCCTACATGCCCCACAGGCCCCACAGGCTTCGTAAGTCTCACAGGCCCCACGTGCTACATATGCCCACCAGGTTGCATAGGTCCCACTAGCCCCGCAGGTGCCACGGGTCCACACTTCCCACCTGTCCCACGGACCCCACAAGTTTCACAGGCGACCTTTGCTACTACCAGGGTGCTCTACAGGAGGCAATTGAGTTACAGGTCGGCTACGACATGCGTTCGCAGCAAGAGAAACATCAACGCAATGGGAAGGGATGATCGGGAGGGATCCGATGTCAGGTTCTTTAGGCTTACGCCACACCGCCGACCCCTTGTTTTTTTTGGAGGCGGACGCAGAGAATCGCAAGCGGAAAGCAGAGGCGGACGCGAAGCCGCTGACGTGCGCGGCGTGCAAAGGCGCGTTCTCGGACACGAAACATGTGAAGCAGAAGCAAGTGGAACATCATCGAGCAGCGAAAGGAGCTAAAGTGGTGTGCAGAAGCTGCGAGGAACTCGGGTTCACAGCGCGCAGTTGCCAGGCTTATCAGTTCAGCGGCGCGTGCAAGAGAGGACTACCAAAGTCGGCGTTCCCCGACCCGCACAATGTCCCGCGCGACGCAAAGAAGGACACCCTAAAGTGCAATACGTGCAAATGATGCCCAATCGGTTGCGCGTACTGGGCAGAAAAGGGAGGACGGGAAGAGGAGGATGGGGGGTGAGGCGGAAAATGGGGGGGAGAAGCATCGGTGAGGATGAGCTGAAGCGGGGCAGGAAGAGGAGGAGGGGAACGAGGAGGAAGTGTAGGAGGAGGAGGAAGAGGAGGAGGAGGGGGACACTGAGATGAGGCTCCGGGTTATGGGGCTGGGCGCGACTCGAAAAACCGGTGTGTTCGGAGATGTCCGTTGGGATCTTGCGGGGGGGCTTCTTGCGGGCCTCTTGGAGCAGTTTCGGAGGCTCTTGGGGGCCGTTTTGGGGCCTCTTTGTGGCTTCTTGGGCGCCTCTTGGAACGTCTTGGGGGCCTCTTGGGGGGTTCTTGGGGCCTCTTTGGGGCCTCTTGGGGCCTCCTGGAGGCCTCTTGGGGCGTACGGCTGGGTTTTCCGGTGCGTGGTCTCTCTCTGGAGCCCCTCTTGGGCCCGTCTCCGGGAGGTTCTTGGGCCGTCTTGGGCGGCTCTTGGGCCGTCTGGGGGCTCTCTTGGGCCGCCTTGGGCGGTTCATGGGCCGTCTGGGGGCTCTCTTGGGCCGTCTTGGGGGCGTCGTGGAGGCCTCTTGTGCCGTCTTGGAGCAGTCTTGGGAGCTTCTTGGGCTGCCTTGGAGCGGCGGAAAGCCGAAAAGGCGAAAATGACGAAAACATCAAAAAAAAACCACTGACATTCAACGATTTTGGCCTCTTGGGGCGCTCTTCGGGGGCCTCTTGAGGGTCTCTTGGGGCGTCTTGGAGGTCTCTTCGGGCGTCTTGGAGCCATCGTGGGGCGTCTTGGAAGCCTCTTGGGGCCTCTTGGGCGCTTCTTAGGGCGTCTAGGCGGTGTCTTGGGGCGTCTGGGGGCCTCTTGGAACGTCTGGGAGGCCTCTTGGGGCCTTCTTGGCCCGTATTTGGGCCCTTTTTGGCCCAGAAGAGCGTCGTGAGTCGCTCGTCGTCGGCCCCCCCCCCCCTCCAAATCGACCGGACCGGGTTCCCGGGGGAGGGGTTTGGGGAGGGGGAAGCATCTCACACGCCGATGACCCAAGGGGTCGGCGGATTTGGCGCCAGCGCATCTAGCTTGTCTACCCTCCTCTCTCCTCCCTCCTTCCTCTCAATCCTCAGCCGCCTATAAATCCTTGCTCCTCTCCTTCCTCACTCCCCTCCCCTCCCTCCTCGCTGCCTCCTCCCTCTTCCCTCCGCTCTCATTAGAGAGAGAGGATGCCAGAGAGGAGGAGGTGGAGGAGGAGGAGGAGGACCAGTGTAAACCCAAGACTCATCAACGACATTGCAATAAGCCCTCCCTCCAAGGTCCCTCTTCATGGGCCCTTACAAGGACTCATGGTCACGGAGGCAAGTGCCCCGTTGGAAGGCAACCATTTGAAAATTCCGAATTGTGTCAGGACGTTGACGCCGCGAATCACTGTTACTTTTGTGTTTAAGCGATCCTGAATCGTACCTTAACGCCATTTCTAGGACTTCAGCGAATCAACATATGTATTACGATTTTACCGTCATATATCAGGCCAAACACCATTTTGTGATGTTGACGAAGAGAATCTCTCACACTGTAGTTGTACACTCTTTGAAAAGGGCGAGAGCCACTCTTTGAGAAGGAACGGCCCTTCATCCGTGAAGCTGTTGCAGGTTTTACAGGCGAATGCACGCGGCGCGAAGGAGACGGCCACATTTTGAAAACGGACCGCCCTCCGTGTGTGAAACTTGCCCACTTTTTACACGGATGTGCGCGGTGCTAAAGCGAGAGCCACATTTTGAAACCCTCCGGCCTCCATCCGTGAAGTCCATCAAATTTTCGAGACGGATGCGCGCGGCGTTGAGGAGAGATATGCATTTTGACGATGGCCCGTCCTCCATCAGTGAAACTGCTGCATTTGTCTAAGACGAGTGCGCGCGGGGCTCAGGCGAGCCACATTTTGATAACCACCCGCCCTCCATCCATGAAATTGTTGCAACTTTCAATACGCAGGATCATGAGTAGTGAGGAAACCGGCCTCGGGATTCGACCGGGATAGGTTATTTATATGGACCAGGAAAATGGATGATGGTGCAGGAATATTCCCTGAACACCTTATGTGCTCTCCTTTTCCACCCTTCCTCCCCCTCTCCCTCCTCATCCTTCGTATTCCCCTCTTCCGCCTCATCCTCCCCGCCCCTGCTCCACCCACAGGTTCTAACTATGAGACTGTATGTTTGATCGGGTAGCTCTCGGATATGCATGCCGTGACGTTTATTGTTTACCATTGCCATATCTTACTCAAATATCATGGTAGCGCGGAGCGAGGTTGTGAGTCGGCCTGCCTGCGATACCGCTGTGCATTCCTCCGTGGCGCCCCAGGGAGGCGCTGGCGCGGCTGGAGCGGGCCGCGGACGAGACCTGCTGGCAGCTGGTCTCGACGAAGCCCGACAAAGCTTGGGCGAACATCGTGCAAGGCGTGCTGAAGCTGGCTCGCCGCAGACGCAGGTGGCACTGCGAGGGCGAAGCTCTCAAGATAGTCAAGGCGCGCGGCCTGGCAGTCGCAGATGGACGAGGCTCGCGTCGCCCAGATCGAGCAGGCTCTCGCGGCGGCGCAGCAGCAGCAACAGCAGCTGATCCAGCAGCTGGCTGCCCAGGCCCAGTCGGCCGAGGCCCGAGCGCAGGCAGCAGAGGCTACGGCTCAGGCGGCCGAGGGCTCGGTCCGCAGCAGCCAGCCGAGCAGCCTGGTGGCCAGCAGCCAGCAGTGAATCGACTGATCGACACGAGGGTCCTGGGGAAGCCGCACGACTTCAACGGTGAGCCTGGCACGTGGCGTGACTGGAGCACGATCTTCCGTGCCTATGCCAGCGCGTGCGAGCCAGCCCTGGTGGACCTCATGGAGAACGCAGAACACTCGGACGAGCCGGTGCTGAACGCCACGCTGCCAGATGAGCACGTGCGACTCAGCAGCCAGCTCTATTATATGCTAGTCATGTTGAACAATGGCCTCTCGCTCGACCGCATAGTCAGTGCTGGAGTGAACGAGGGGTTGGAGGCTTGGAGGACACTTGTTGTGTTTCATGAGCCTCAGAGTCGGACCCGGGCAGCAGGATTGCTACAAGGGTTGCTCTCGTGGGATTTCGAAGGTGATGTCCCGTCGAAGCTGATCTCGTTCGACAGGAACGCGAAGCGCTACGAGCAAGCTGTCAGCAACGGGTTCCCCGACGAGATCAAGATAGGCATCCTGGTCCGATCGCTCAAGGAAGGCCCGCTACGGCACCACCTGCTGCTCAACAGCCAGCGCCTCGACACGTGGGGGCTGGTGAAGGCGGAGGTGGAGAACCTCCGGCGGGCCCAGATCGCGACGACGGCGAGTGCGGGCACAGGTGTAGCACCGATGGACCTCGACTCACTTGCGAAGCAGCTGGCAGCTCTCGGCTTCAAGGGTGGCAAGAATGGCAAGACTGGCAGCGGCAAGGGCAAGGCCAGCAGGCCCGGCAAGGGCAAGGGCGCTGATGATCTGCCGACCAAGCCGCGTCCGATCTGCGGTCAGACAGGCCACTGGAAGCGCGACTGCTGGTGGAACTTGACGGCTGCGTCAGGCAAGGCGCCGCCGAAGGGTGGTGGAGGTCGAGGTCGTGGCAGAGGCAAGGGTGGCGGCAAGGCTGGCGATGCACCGAAGCCGAAGCCATGCTGGACCTGCGGTTCGACGGCGCATCTGGCCAAGGACTGCCCGGTCGCAAAGAAGGCTGGCGCCTT